GCGTGTGTGTGCATATTTGCACATGTCATCTACGTGCATGCGTCTGTGAGCACAGGATGGGAAGGAGGACTGTGAGGAGAGGGGGCAACGGGGTGGAGGGGCAGGGTAGGTGGGGAGGGAAGGAGGGGGGCCTGGGGGTCAGCCAGGGTGGGTGGGTGGGGCGGGCTGCCCTTTCCACTGGCTCAGGAGGGAGGGCAGCCGTTGGCCCTACTGTGAGCCCTAAGCAGGAAGCCTGAGCCATGTTGGTCCTGGGGAGCTGTGACCGACCAGCGCCCCCAGCTGCTGAGAGCCTCTAATGAGGAACGGGAAAAAGGGAGAGTCGAGTGGCTTTCCCTCTGGAACTCCTGACTTTTATTAAAGATAACTAAATGTTCTTTTTTTGTTTTGCGTTAATAGAAAAAAACCCACAATGAATGTAAGAAAAAAAATACCCATACACACAGGACCCGGGTGACCTATTAGCCCTTGGGCATTCACATTTTCATCCGTTATTCTTTCACTGTTTTGTTCAGGAGACGTGTATGGAGTAGATGCTGTGTTCCCATCATCTGGTCACCTGTCAGGTACTGGGGATGGAGGGGAGGGAAGCCCTAAACCCCCAGTGCTAGGGAGGGATTGGCAGGTGAGATGGAGGAAAGGAGGGCGGGACTAGCCTGGGGCTCCGTGAAAGTTCCAGGAGGCCTGGTGCTCAGACCCTGGCCTGAGGATGAGCAAGTTGCTGGAGCAAGGGTGTAAAGGCCTGAGGTGGAAAGAGAAAGTGCAGGGCCAGCCCAAATAGCTGGAGGCCACACATGCAGGACCGTGAGGCCAACAGCCAAGCTGGTAGGAACAGGCGAAGATGGACAGGACAGATCTTGGGGGGGTTTGAGCCGGCGTTGCTCGGACTTCATGAGAAGGGCTCCTGATGTGTGAGAGAGTGCTGGGACCCAAGTACTAATAAAAAGAAGAGGGGTGAGGCACCTGGGTAGCTCAGTTGGTTGAGTATCTGACTCTTTTTAACTTTTTTTGAGAGAGAGAAAGAGTGGGGGGGAGGGGCAGAGAGAGGGAGACAGAGAGAGAATCTCAAGCAGGCTCCACACTGTCCTGCTGGAGCCCGCCGAGGGGCTCGAACTCACAAACTGTGAGATCATGACCTGAGCCATAACCAAGAGTTGGACGCTTAACTAACTGAGCCACACAGGTGCCCCCAAGCATCTGACTCTTGATTTCAGCTCAGGTCATGATCCCAGGGTCGTGGGATCGAGTCCCACATCGGGCTCTGTCCTGACAGCGTGGAGCCTGCTTGAAATTCTTTCTCTCTTCCGCTGCCCTTCCCCCACACATGCACACATGCTCTCCCTCTCGCACTGTCTCTAAAAAAGAGAAGAGAGGGATTTGGGAGAAGAGTGGATAGGCCTGGGCTGGGCTGGGCAGGGGACACTGATGGAGGCCCTAGGGCGCCTGGGTGGGCACCACCCTGATTTCATGTGGAGGGGCCGGGCTTGAGGAGCTGAGAACCACCTGAATGGCGCCCAGGAAGCCATGTAGTACCAGGTGGGGGGGGTGCTGAACTGAAGTCCAGCACATAAGGGAGCAGGTGGGCTGCTCTGGGCGTCGAGTGAGGGGAGAAGAGGACCTCACACCAGGAGGTTAAGGAGAAGGTGGGCCGGTGAGGCCGGGAAGACCAAGAGTGTCTGGGAGCTGATGCTTCCAGAAGGAGGGGGCTCTTAGGGTAACTGCTGCTGAGGGTCAGGACCCGCAGGTGGCCAGGTGAGGTGGCCTGGGTGAGTGGGAGAGGAAGCATGGTAGCCAGGGCTGACCTGCTCTCCACATTGGTGCGTAGGGATCTAGGAACAGGGGTTGGAAGCTGCAGAAGTTTCCATGCTTTGGTGTACCACTCCTGAAAAGGTGGCAGAGGGGAGTTGAACAGGAGAGGGCCCCAAAATTCCGAACGAGGGAATCTCAAGGTTGAGAGCCCAGATAAATTAGGGTGGTGCTCCCCCGCAAGGGGCTTATGAAAGGTGGTTTGGCCAGTGGGGGCAAGAAACAAGCAGACAGGGGGCAGCTGTAGCAGAAGCAAAGACTCTGAGGTGAAGGGGGTGTCAGCATCACGTAGGACGTGCGGAGACTGTCTGGTGTGAGTGGCAGAGGTGGAGGGGGGTGAGGGAAGCCCCGTTAGGTAGGAGGGGTTAGAGGAAGATGCGGTTATCACAGTGGATCCAGTAACCCATCCTCCACCTCAACACTTCAGGGGTCTCCTCCTCTGGCTCCGAGTCCCCTCCCCCCACTCCCCATGAGGGGAGCACATTCCCCCTCCCCCCCATTAAGGAGGCAAGGCAGGAAAGGTCTGCGGGTTCTGGGACACGCGGGGGCCGGGACTGATCCGCTGTCGCAGAGCGGCGGAGGCGGCTGGCCAGGCTGGGGGCCACTCGGACCCCTGCCGCCCGGCTCCCTCGTCCTCCGAGCCCGGGACTCCCGCGTGAATCCCCTGGTTCTGAAGTTGGGCGCCTTCGAAAACTTTTGCTTTTATCCCAACTTCTCCCAAGCGCGGAGAGACGTGTGGGCGTGGCGCCTTTAAGGAAGCTCTGGGACTGGGCTCCGAGTGGGCGGGGCTCAGCGTGGGCGGGGCTCCTGGGGGCGGGGCCTTCTTGAAGAGGCCCGAGGGCGCGGCCGCCTGGACCCGCCAAGCGCCCAGCGTGGAGCAGACATGACCTCGCGCAGGTGAGCCAGGGCCGCTAGGTGGCTTGACGCCGCGACCCCTGGAGATGTGCTTCGGGTCCGACGGGCACCGACGGGTTAGCGGTGACATGTCCCCAGGCCTGATCTCCTGGCGCAGCCTCTCTCCACTGCCAGGCCCTTGAGGCTGGGCCTCACCCAGGCAAATGAAAGGACTCTTTCTTAATGGGAGGTGAGGGGCTGGGCCTGGGTGAAGGTCAGAGGTACCCTAACTCTAGGGAACAGAGCATGCCCTGCAGGTGGTGGGTAACAGTCGTTGGAGCCTAGAATGGGCGGCAGGTGTAGACCCTGCCCAGCTCCTGGCTCTGTTTGGGCCATCGGAGCTGTTTTCTGCCAGGTGGGGGCTACCTCTTCCTTCCCCGGGCCTGAAACCCAGGGCAGTAGCACTGAGGGGTCCTGCAGGGTCTAGTTTCCCCTGCTCTAGACTCGGTCCCTTGACCCTGCCTCACTGTAAGGACCAGCTCCCCCTGGACAGGCTCGTCTTTGCTCTAGACCCTCCTGGGGCCGGGTTTAGGGGGCAACCTTCGCAGAAGGGATTCGAGAGCCTAAGCGGCCGCAGGTCAAGCCAGCTTCCTGCCTCCGTGGAGAGGGAAAATGGGAAATGTGACAGGAACTGGGCACTTCCTGCCCTTTCTGCTGGATCCCTGCTATCTGGATGTGTGCGCACACGCATGTGAGCTCAGACTCTAGCGTGCATGTGGATGTGAGTGGGGGGGTCATACAGGTGTGAAACACATATCATTAGGGGCTGGGTGAGGCCAGAGGTCACAGGAGGGGTCGTGCTAGGACGCTGCGTGACTCCCTAGATCAATGAGGGGCTGGACAAGGTCTGGGCTTCAGGGTCCAAGGGTATGTCTCTGCCTGAGCAAGATCCTTAGCCCAAGGCGGACGCCACTGCCTCCCCACAGCTCCCACCAGCAGTGCCTCAGTGATGAGGGTCCCGGGATCCCTATGAGGGATGTGGTTAGGAAGCAGCCAGGCACAGAGGCCTCCATCAAGGTCATAGGCTCAGCAGTAGTGGAAATCGGAACTTGTCAGCTCCAAAGCTCTGTGATAATAGCCCAAATTGAGGGAGGAGGAGGTTTTGAGATCTGGTTGGAATGACCTCTCAGACTCACCTCAGCCTCACTCTTAATTGTTCTCCAGGCAAGTTCTGGTGCTCAGAGAAGGCCCCGTCTGTGTCACATGCCTGTGACCTTGCTCCAGCCTGGGAAAGCCCCGAGTAGGGCTCTGCCCGCCCTTGCCAACCCCTGTCTGCCCCACCCTGTGGCGACCATCTGGATTGTCACTCCTCTGGCCCCTGGGCCCCTTACACACCCCTGTCAGGCCTGGGCAGGTCTGACTAAAACCCAAGTAAGATCTATCCCCCTGTGCCCAACTCCACCTCGTGTCCCCTTCCAGTCACCCTCTGGCTTGTGAGCCAATGGGCACCTCTGTCAGCTCTGCTCACTCAGGGGCCTCTAGTGCTGTGGGGCAGAACTGCGTGCAGGTACATTGGTACTGATGCCTGGGAGGGGGCTGGATCCTACAGTGGGGTGGGGGGCCTGCTACACCCCTCAGGCTTACCCTCTGTTCCAGGAGTTGGAGAAGAAGGTGCATCTCTGGTTAATTTAGTTCTATATAGACCGGGTGGACCTTGGTTCAGTTTCCTCTTGGACCAGAAGGGTCAGGGTCTGCAGATGGGGCGCTGGGAGCAGGGAGAAGAAGGATTATTGGCTGTGCTCTGGGGTCCTGAGGCCTGCAATTCTAACCCAGAATCCTTCTCCACTGGCCTGTGTATTCCCCACCATCACAACAGCATCTGCCCTGCAGGAGTGTCCAGCCGCCGTATCGTGTGTGTAGGCGTGTTGACGGGCTGTTCGTGTGCCTTCCAGGGTTCCAAGGTTGGAGCAAGGCCGCACAGGGAGTCAGACCAGCCAGTGCCCTGTCTGGGTTCAGGCTGATCCGTTGGGTGACACGGGCTGTCCCTGGACTCCAGAGCACTGACGGGGCTCAGCTGGGCCTTGAGGAGTCCGAGCCATTAGACCTGTTGGGAGCGCAGTATGCCTTGCTCACCCTGCTTGCCCCCCTTCCCTGGGCCTGCAAGGACATGTCACCAGGGCAGAGCTGAGTCACTGACCCATCACAGAGCAGGGAGCGCTTTGGCACAGAGGTGACCCTGGGCCCTGGCACAGAGAGGGTATGGGACTCGGAGGTGGGGACCTGTAGCCTCCCCACCTCCCCCTCCCCCTCAGCCAGGGGCAGCAAGCCTCCTGGCCTCCCGGGCGTCAGCTCCACCTCGAGGCTTGGTTGGGGGGATGTGAGGCCCCTGCCTCAGCCTGGGATTCTGGAGGGCGGTGGTGTGAGTGGCTGCAACCCCTCAGGACACCCCACCCCTGGAGATTTCCACCTGATATACCCAGCGGCAGTTTGTGGGGAGGAGAGGGCAGTGGAAAGTATGACTGAGAGTCCCTGGAAGGACAACAAGGTACCCTGCACCCCTCTCTGTGGCTTTGACTCTGGGCCTCCACCCTCCACCCCTGTCCCCACACTCTGGGCATTGCCCATCTTGGACTGGAATCTGAGGCTGCTGTGGCCAGGGGGAGGGGGCATCTGGGCACAGGATGTGGTTCAGCAGAGTAGGTGGCCCAGGGTGGAGGGGTGGTTGGAAGCTTTCTCCTGGGTTCGGGTCCCCCCCGCCTCCACAGCATCTCATCACGGGTCCAGCGACAGCACAAAGCCATTGCCCTCTTCCTGGTGGCCTCGCCCACTCTCCTGTGATGGGCTCTGGAGGTCACCATGTGGCATCTCCTCTTCTAGGAAGCCTTCCCTGGCAGCCTCACCTGCTGGACCACTTGACCAAAAATTGCCCCCAGGTCTGGCTCCCCTACCAACCCATGTCAGGGAGAACTCAAAACGCTATGCTCAGAATGCGCTCAGGAAGTGCCTGGACAGCAGTAACCCCCATTCCCCAGGGAGAGTGAAAACAGGAGTGTTGCTCAGGCTGGGTGGCCCCAGGCAGGCCACCTGAGCTCCCAGGCCTCTCTGAACCAACAGATGGACCCTGGGGAGCCATCAAGGTCAGAACTGAGCCTGCCCTCAGTGAAGACAAGGCTGACACAAAAGTGTGGAGGTGCCCGTGGGCTGTTAACAGGTGTCCTGTGTAGAAGGGAGGACAGCGGTGGGGACTGCAGTAAAATGCAGAGACGGTGAGCCGTGCCCAGCAGGGGTGGTTGGTTCTGGGAGCGTTTGGAAGGTAGGACAAGAGGGCTCTGGGGAAGAGAGCACGGAGGGGCTGCGGGTTGGTGACCAGAGCTGTGAGGGGTGGCGGCTCCCTTCACTGAGTGAGGACCATGTAAAAGAACAGGGGCTTGTGGGCATGGCCAGGAGTTTTCAGTTTTGCAAACGTTAAGATAGAAATGTCGCTACGCTTCCAAGTAGAGATGCCGAGGGGAGAAGAACCTAGGAGCCCAGGTGGGGCTGGAGGTGTAGAAGGCGCACGGATGTGTAGGCACACGCAGGGCACAGGTGGGGAGCTCTGACATTGACAGGTCAAAGAGGAGGGCCCAGCAAAGGGTCCTGGCCAGGTGAGGCAGAAAACCAGGGGGGAGCGGAGAACATGTTTCTAGAAGGAGGCAGGGTGCCTGTGTCAGTCAAATGCTGCTGAGGACTGAGGCCCGACCACAGGTCCCCGAGCCCGATGGGCACCCTCAGTGCTGAGGTCTCAGGAGGGCTGGAGGGCAAACAGGTCCGTGGGGACTCAGGCAAGGGCGGACAGTGGAGAGCAGCACAGAGCAAGGGAAGTATCTCCTACCACTGTCGATGGTCTCTGGAGCCACACGTGGCCCTCAGCAGTGAACTGTGGCCGTGTGACTGAGGAACCAGGTCTTGACTTTGCTGAATTTTCATTCATTTACATTCACATTTCAGCGTGCTGTAGGCTGCTGTGCTGGGCACGCCCGTGCAAACTGTGCACACAGACAGCTCCTTGGAGGCGTCAGGACAGGCCCTGAAGGCAGGAGTGAAAGGAAGCCTGATGGACGAGAAGAGCCCGGAGCAGAAGGGTCCTGCAGCTTTAGACACATGGTCTAATTTCCATTGTAGAAAAGCCTCCACAGGGCAGGACCATCGTTGCTCCTATTGTTGGGTCAGATCTAAACCTGGGCCAGAAATTCCTGCCGTAACAGGGAAGCAAAAGCTATGAGGGCAAAGAACACAGCAGCTCTGACCCTGGACATGGGCTTATGCACAGCCCTGAGCGAGGGCCCTCCTGGCCTGTCCCCCACTTCATGACAGAGGCTGTGAAGGAGGACAGTCCCGGGAGGCAGGGCGGGGGGCAGAGGTGGGGTCCCTCTCAGCCTACACTCCCCCCTCACCTCTAGTCCTTTACCAACACCTGCCTCAGTCTGTATCGGGCCCCACGGTTGGCAGAAGGAAGACAGCTCCTGACCTGACCTGCAGCTGCCCAGGCCCTTCTCTCAAGTGAAGCCCATCCATCCACCCATGCCCCCACCATCCATTTACGTATTCATTCACTTCTTTTTTTTTTAAATTTTTTAAAATGTGTATTTATTTTTGAGAGACCGAGCACGAGTGGGGGAGGGGCAGAGAGAGGGAGACACAGAATCCGAAACAGCCTCCAGGTTCTGAGCTGTCGGCCCAGAGCCCGACGCAGGGCTCGAACTCATGAACCGAGCCATGAGATCGTGACTTGAACCGAGCCATGAGATCGTGACTTGAGCCGAAGTCAGACGCTCAACCGACCGAGCCACCCAGGCGCCCCACGTATTCATTCACTTCTTAATTCAAGTGCAGTCACTAATACCCAGGCACTGTTTTCGCCCCTGGGATACAGCACTGCACAGAACAGTTCCCGCCCTTTGGAGCTTAAATCCTTAAGTGGGAGATAGACAGTAAACCAATAAATATATCAGGTGTCAGAAGGTGACAAAAACTATGAAGAAAGATAAAGCAGAATAAAATAAAGGATGAGAAATGAGAGGAGTCCTCAGCCATATGGATGTGGGCCAAGGGAGCAGAGAACAGCTAGTATAAAGGCCCTGTGGTCAATGACCTCACGTGAGTGAGGAGCTAGGGCTGGGAGAGGGGTCAGGGCGGAAGGTAGACCTGAGCCTGTGCTTTTGTTCTGGGGCGGGGGACAAGGGTGGCTGGGAGGGCTGACTAAGCGACTAACACATTATGGCGCGGTTCCTGGGGCTGTGGCCGGTGCCCCTTGGGAGAACGTGGTAGCCAACACCACACCGGAAGGGGTGGAGCGAACAGGGTCTGTCGATGGGCTCTGAGGGCAGGAAGGAAGCCCTGGGTGACACTGGAGCACCCAAGTGCCTTTGGCCTAGCTGGGATGCCCTGGCAAGGCCGGAGGGACCAGACACAGAGTTTGAGGCGAGGCTCCTAATGGTAGCTGTGTGCAGGTGCTGGAGGGTGTCTGTTCCACCCTGCCCCAGCTGCAGGGGTCTGCCCAGTTGTGTCCCTAGGACCCCATAGCCCCACCTCCTTCCACACAGGCCTCAGGCCCTGTGGTCATTACCCATGCAGGTTTCGAGCAGGGGGGCCAAAACAGGCACCATGGGTGGAGGTTGAATATGGGCCGGGATTTTGGGGGGCGGGGGAGGGGGCCGGAGTGTTAGTGTCACCCCAGCTGTCTGGGATCACCAACTTGTGGTCCTCGTGCCAGGTGGTTTCACCCCAACATCAGTGGAGTTGAAGCAGAGAGGCTGCTCCTGTCCAGGGGCCAGCACGGGAGCTTCCTGGCAAGACCCAGCAAGAGCTGCCCAGGGGCCTTCACACTGTCTGTCAGGTGGGTGAAGGTGGGTGGGTGCTACGGCCAGGTGTGAACGGGCCCGAGGCTCCAGGAGCCTCAGCCGTCTGAACACCCTCAGCTGGGGGACAGGTGGGGATCAGTCTCCCTCTCTTCCCAGAGGGGTGTTGGGCATCATCCTGGGCAGTAAGGATCCCTGCTGGGGGCTGGACATCCAAGAATCCGGGTCTTGTCGGGGGGTGGGAGCCAACGGTTTGGCAAGGGGTGGGTGGAAGTCTGGCATTCCTGACCAGATGGCTTCTGAGCAGGAGGGAGTCATTTAGAAGGGCCCGGTGAGGTAGAGAGTTGTCAGGACCTCCCTCCTGCCCTCCGAGGGGTCTGGCGTGCTGGACAGGGGCCTCGGTGGCCCTGATTATGATCCCGTGTCCTGGGGATGCTCGCAAATGCTGCCCACAGGGGGTCTGGCTGGAGGCCATGAAAGGGCCACTGCGTAGGGAGGAGGAATGGGAAAGGGCTACAACCAGCAGAGTGGTGATCAGGGCGGGGGGGGGGGGGG